GCCATGCAATCAGCTGAGTTCCAGAGAAGGCTCAAGCAAGGGAGGGTCAGGGACAGAGGTTGAAGAAGAGGAATAAAGTGGAAGGAAATTAAACCTGCTTCTCCAGTGGTGGCAGCAGCGATCTCTTCCTGAAATAGCACTGTTGAAGACAGCTTGCTTTTTTCTAAGAGATTTTGTTCCTGTATAGATTGAGAAGAGCTTTTGCCTTGGAAGCGTACCTGGCCTTGAGCTTGTTATAAAGGTGTTTTGCAACGCATCTAACGCACCAGTATTCAGGCTGTATAACTTATCAAATATTTATGATACTGAGAAAACGTTCAGAAATGCTGAGAAGCTAGATGCTTGTAGTTAGAGTTCACTGGAAATTCTTCTTGCTTCAAATCTTGACCAAAATTGGATACCTTACTGCAGAATAAATTTCTGGTTTAGTCCCTCAAGTTTTGCATCTTTTTGTCTATTTCTGAATGATTAGAAATACATTTGTGGTCTGATACTTTGGATCACTAGAGGCTTGTCTGTAAGAACGCGTTAATAGCTCAAGTGTTGCCTCTAAGTCTCACTTAGAGGCAAGTCATTCTCTCACATAAGGTGATAACCTTTAGCTCTGGCTAGTTATAGCTAAAGCCTTCAGGGAAAATTTAACAGTTGTTAATGTGACCTTGTAGTTACATAGATAAAAGCTTGTTCTGTTAAAGTGCTGCTGATCCTACAAGTGTAGTTTTGGAATCCCTCGTATTCTGGAAGATACAGAAGTTGGCTCACAGTTTGGAAGCAGATTTGTAAATCATCCTGTGCTTATTATGATGTAGAGAACAGGATGCACCTATAGAAAAGTTCATTGTCACTCCTATGTTGTGTTACAGCATAGCTAAACCAAGTTAACAGTACTGAAAGACAGTAAAGTGTGAGGTCAAGAGGAGGGAAGATGACTCAAAGTGCTGGTATCTAGTCTGCATCTTTCCATATGAGGAACTTCCAAACACAGTTACGCTGTTGTCCTGTATCCCTGTGGAAGGAACTGGGAGTTGCGTACACTGAAGCGCCACTCCTGAGTTTCTAGGAATTTTCATTACATTTTACTTATATTTTTTTGTGCAATTTTAGTTTGAGGGTGACTTTATGGAGTTGTGAGGGTTTTGTGTAGGCTCATACTCTGTGTGTCGCTTTATCTCTACCCATCAAAGCGTGTTGCCGGCAGATAGTATGCAGTGTATAGTACATCATCTCATTTCACGGTTTCTGATAGCAAGAACTTTGAAGACAACTTCTGTCCTCTCCCCATGCCTCAAGCCCATATGTTGCAAGAATAAGTCTTTTTAAAATAGAATTTTCTGGAAAAGTGAATATTAGGATTTTGTAGGAATTTAACATTTTCCAAAATTGGTAAATTGTTTTGGAGGAGAGCACATTTCTTGAAAAAATATTTTTTCTTTTTTTCCTGAAATGGATATCTATTTTAATAACTGGGATTTCACGAGTATTTTCTGTTACTTCTCTAGTTAAGTAGCTGAAAAACCTTCTTTTCTCTGAAATGATTCCTTTTGTCTTAGCCAGAAGGGTTGTTATAAGAACTTATATAAGGTATTGAGTGTACTGTGTCATAGCTACTGGGTTTGTTTGGTTTGGTTTTGGGTTGTTATAAATAAAATTTTGCGTTACAACCTATAGTTTCCCTTTATTTGTAAGCTGTTAATATGCCTTACTTTAAATATTTGGAATTAAAGTCTGTAATATGCTTTTAAAATACTTTTCAATAATGTTGATTTTGAGATTTTGTGGGAAATATTAAAGTGCAATTAGGTCATATTTTTAAGATCAACACATCCTTTCTTGAAGAAAGCTAGAGTAAAAAGCTGGCTGCTGATTGCTGTTTAGCAGACTTCCTCTTCAGGGTTGTGGTGTGTCCGTGTTCCCATTACTATGTGCGGGTAACAAAAACCGGAACCACACCCCATTGTATTACTCTAAATTCACTCGTTTGGAGTTGATGGATTTTCTCCCCATGTTGCTTTTGTCAATGTAAGCAACTGGTTGCTGGAATGTATGCGGTAGACCCCTCAGTTTCCTTCACCAGGCCAGGAAGAGTTCTCTTTTAGCTAATGAGAGGTTAATAGGCAGCATTGTCTTCTGAAGGAATTGGTTGAGGTACTTGAAAGCTTTGTTTGTTAAATTTATCAGAACATTTAACACTGCAAGTTAAATTTGCATTTAACAAGCTGCTTACATACAACTGAAAAGGGATTGATGATAAAACTTCAGATAATTAGTGAAATGCATCAAAGATTCAAAGTGGGAAGGTGACAAATGTGACACCCAAAATGGCAATAAGCTGTTCCCCCCCCCCAATTCAGTGAACTTTCAACATCGTGGTACATTGTTAGCGTGTCTATATTGTTGATTCTTGCTCTGTTATTTTGAGATTATAACTCTACACTTTCTACATGTTTGTGAGGTGTCGGGTATGCTTTGTCAGGAACTGCACTGTCTTGTACGTGTGGTGTAGCCCAATTGTTCAGACAGATCCCTTCCACCTCAGTAGAACTTAAGTGTGTGCTTAGATGAGTTGAAGCCTAAATTATTAAGTATCGATTATTGCTATATTGTAGTTGTTGATGATGTGCCCATTGGAATATTAAATGCACGTATCTACTAAAAGAGCAGAAGGGGAGGTCATCATGCAAAACAAAGGGCTTCTCTGCAGCCTTAGTACCACAGATATTTGCCTGTATGTGTCTGAGAACAAGGCAGCAGCAGTAGCGATCTCCCTGTCCTGAACTTACTACAAGGAGAGATGACCGTAACTAGGTGATTACTTTCAGGCTATGGATCTTCTGTCATTGGCTCCTCGTATTATTAGTGCTACATAAGCCATAGCTTTGGCTTTTGTTGTGAATATGACCTTTTTCTCATTCTTCTGCATTCCCTGCTCTGCTGCTCACAAAATTAAGGAAGGTGCTTTTAAGTAGAATGCTGTCTGTGTGCCAGGCAATTACTGGAAGTCATTTTGTATTTTGATCCTACCCTTTTTCAGCAGCTCTTTTAAGACAGCTCTTAAACTTTTGCCAGCTGCAAGAAGGCTTTTTGAAATAGTGTACTTGTAACTGGTACTACAGCCCAAAAGGCTCATGTAGCTTGACAGTACAAAAGTAGTAAACATAATTTGAGCTTATACTAACTTTGAAAGATGAGGGTGTCACTGGAGAGCTTTTTCATATTGCTTACAATCTGTGGTTCAAAGAAAACAGCAAATTTTGTCTCAATGCCATGACAGACAATGCAAAGTATACTAACCTCCCCAGTGCTTCATGTCTTGTGCTGTTACTAAAACTGAAAAATCTGCAGGGCTTTTCCTTGCCAGAGTTTGGGGCTGGAAAGTGTGCTTTAATGTTTTATAGAGAACAGAAAAGATCAAGACCTGACCTGGCTTAAGCAATACCAGACAGAGTGCAAAAGCCACTGTTTGGTATGGTGTGGAATGCTTGCCTCAAACTGCATTAAATGCAGACTGAACTTGCCATTATGTATGAATTGCATTTGGTAATAACCTCAGGATGTTGTTACTAAGGACTCATATTGTCATTATCTATTTTCTCTATCCATGAAGGAGAGCCTAACTTTAAGAAACCAGGAAAACGTTTTATTGCTGTCCATAGAACCTTTTCTCTTTAAGAGAGTTCTTTGAAGTCCTCAATTAGGAAGCTGTTAACATGTAACATCTCAAAATATTTTTGTAGGAATTGATTAGTTATGTAAATATCTCTTCGTACACTGGCTTGGCAATATCTAGTGAAAATGCAAACAAAAATATTACCTATACCGTATAAATGCATTGAAGGAAAATTCTGAATGATGTGAAGCAAAGTCAACTCTAATCTTTTTAAACTGTGGTCAAAAAAAGAGCTTTGATTTGTGCGTAAATATAAGAAATACTTCAGTACTGTTATGAATTCCAGTTCTGTTTACAAAGCTGTTCTGTTTTTCATAAAATGTTGTTCTGAAAGATCATGGTTATACTGGTTAGTAGTTTCCCATTTTTACAGTACACATCTCTGGTCTCCGATCCTACACCTCATCTGTCAGATCATCTTTTTACATTAATTGTCTTTGTCTTAATCTTTCCCTGTAAAAATAAATTACTCCAAGTAATCTGAATACTTGGCCTGAAATTTACTTTTAAGGAGATGAAGAGAATTGGTTAACAAAAATGTGATTCACCATAGAAACAGCTCAGCCAATAGCATATACGCAGTAAATTAACCATTTTCTGGTACTTTCATATTTGATACGAAACATAGCAACAAGATGAGAGCTTGACAACAATAGCAGCTGCACATATTTTTCTTCCTTTTTTGAAAGAACATTCTTGTGGAAAAAATAGATTCCCTGGAAAGTAATTTATATTACAAGTTTCATCACAAAAATTCTGTGGGTGGGTACAATAGGCTAGAAATTAAATTAGTGATTTGTATAATAAATGATGGTTTTGATTTGATATGACAGTTCTAGTCTCTTACAAGTGACATAGCTACAGGCAATAGAATAATCTCTTTCCCTTGTGAAGATAAATTTCGTATCAGACCAAACCATCTTATATTAAATTACAACTTCCCTCTTTTTTTGCTATTTGAAAAGATTCATGAGACTGTTCATTAAATAAAAGCACAACCCAATTAAAAGGGTATTTTGGCCAGAATGTCTTGAAGATATTTTCTGATATCAGGCACGTGGTTAACTTATATAGGGTACTGCCATAAGAGGCCTGATCCGAATAAAGGAGTTTTCCTTAATGCAGCAAGCGGCGTGATTGTGGCCACACTGAGCGAGAAGGTGCTTTTCTTACCTCAGTTAGTCTGAAACCCTCAAATACAAATGACGTGTGATAAGAGGAATCTAGTATCTTGACTGCCTTCCTTGAGGGGAAGAGGGATATAGTACATGTGGCTCTTATAGAACTTGGTTGTGCTCATACCAGCTTTTTTTTCGTGTTTTGACAGAGAGAAGGAGCAAGAAAGGGAAGAACAGTTAATGGAAGACAAGAAAAGGAAGAAAGAGGATAAGAAAAAGAAGGAATCTGCTCAGAAGGTAGGTTTTGATATTTGTGTTCTTTTATTCAGCTGGAACATAAATAGTGTTGGGGTGGTAGGATGTGAAACTGTATTTGAATTCAAAGACTTGATTGTTTAGAGTGGTGCTTCATTAAAGACTGTTTTTTGCATCATTTTTGTGGAACTTAAGTGTTTAACTTAGACATTTCTTCTCCTTAGTGTATCATGGTGAAGTAAAAGAAATGTTTTGATAAAAAGTATTAAGCTTAAGTTCTTGAATATGGGCTCTCTTGATCTATGCAACCCCTGCTGTTTTGAGGTGTTTGGGGATGGAAATGCTGCCAGACTTTTGCCATTTGTGCAGTAAAATTGACTAACTGTTTTCTAGAGTAAGTCCTTAAGGAAGTTTATATGAAATACTTACTACTGAAGGTACCCTTTATTTTTTGCTAACTATCACTTAGGGTTTTTTTTTCTGTAGCTAATAGCATTTTTGCTGAAGTGTATCACTTTGAGTCTGAGCTATGGAGAATTGATAAGTCACTGAAAATTGGTTTTGCTCAGAAAATGGATTTGAACACTTGGTTTATTAGAAGCTCTCTATTTTGCTGAAAATATAGTAGATTGTTCTAGGAGTGAACTTACGAACTTGAGTTTCTGGCAGCTTTGTCTGTGCTTCTTACTGGTAAAATCCGTTCTGTCTAGTTCTGGACTTTCCAGTACAAGACAGATGTAACCGTCCTGGAGCAGGTCCAGCAAAAGGCCCCTAAGATGATTAAGGGACTTGGAGTATCTGACAAAGGAAGAGAGGTTGAGAGAGCTGGGACTGTTCAGCCTGGGGAAGAGAAGGCTCAGGGGGATCTTATATCAATCTATGTATCTAAATACCTTGTGGGAGGGAGTAAAGAAGATGGAGGCAGGCTCTTCTCAGTGTTGCCCAGTGACAAGGCACAAGGCACTGTGCACGAATTGAAATAGAGGAAATTCCACTTAATCATAAAAAGACTTCTTTGTGCGTGCATGTGACTGGGCAGCCACTGGAACAGGTTTCCCAGAGAGGTTGTGGTGCCTCCGTCTTTGGAGATGCTCAAAAATGAGTTGGATGTGGCCCTGTGCAATCTGTTTTTGATGACGTTGCTTTGAGTTGGGAAGGCTCCTGGGGGTGAGTGGGGAACAGGGGTGGAAACTGTGGACTATCTCCAGAGGCTGTCCTTTCCAATCTCAATGATTATGTGAAATTGAGAGCAGAAGCCTTTACTTTCAGTAGTCTCTGGTTTTCAGTTGCTTCAGTAATAACAGACCCTATGAAAGATCAGACATTATTCTGTGTTTAGATTCTGTAGGTTTCTGATTTCAGTTAAAATATGGCTTATCCAGGGTCTTTTTAAACCTGGCTTTTTCACGAATTTGAGTCTTATCAGTTTAAATTAGGTTTGGATAAACTGGTGTATTTCTGTTGTCTTTATCCAGCCATTGTGTTGATACAATAGTACTGCAAAAGATCAGTAGCTACAGAGTAAAGTTTCTTCAGTGTCCCTTTGCCTCAGTGTTGCTGCTGTTTAATGTTCAAGTACAAAAAGTATATGTAGGAACCAGGAGGAGCAGACCCTGGTAAACAAAGACTAGTGGTTTGAAGATTATATGCTCATATTCAGTGATACAAGAGAAACTTAAAAAGGTTGTACTAATCATCTTGATAAATGCTGTGAGTGTTTACTGAGGAATTGGTGATTTGAATACAAAGGAGATTTGCCAGCTTTCCTGTGTGGTCCCTCACCTACTAAGTTATTCAGTACATTGCATGTTATGATATTTTGCCAAAATCTTGGGAAGGATAAACACTAAATCTCCTGGAGACCAAACTTAACAGTAATACTTGGAGACATCTAGGAATAGCAAAGCAGGCAACCAAATAGAGAAGAACATAAATGTGTATGTTCATTCTTAGTGATTGTGGTGGTGTACGCCAAATAAGCAGTAATGATTTGGGGGTATCTTTTTCAGACAGAGTCTGTATAACATGAAGCAATTGTTTCTGGATCTTCTGAAACTTAAGAAATAAAAAAATAAAAAAAATCACTTCAGAGGTTATGCAACCAAATTCACAGACTAAATTCCTGTGGTTGGTGTCCCAGGAGCTGTTGGTAGCTTGTCAGAAGGCTGAATCTGACTCCACCTTCCCGTTCGCTATAGCTGCTGCCACCGCTGCGGAGATGCTTATAGGTTACTCACAGAAGAGATGACAGCTGTAAATAATTTTCTCAGCTTTTGTATTCTAGACTGGGGCGGGGGGGGGGGAGATAAAT